CTTTGCAGGGACATAGATAAAGCTGCAAACCATCATTTTCATAAAACTGACACAATAACAGAAAACCAGACACCACATGTTCTCACTCATAAGTGGGTGTTGAACAATGAGAACACATGGATACAGGGAGGGAAACATCACACACTGGGGCCTGTCAGGGTTGGGGGGCTAGGAGAGGGATAGGAGAGGGTGGGAGGCTAGGGGAGGGATAACATTAGGAGAAGTACTTAATGTAGATGACGGACTGATGGATGCAGCAAACCACCATGGCACATGTATACTTATGTAACAAACCTGCACATTCTGCACATGTGCCCCAAAACTTAAAGTATAATTTTTAAAAAAAAATGCTTTCTTTAATATTTGTGTTTTTTGAATTTTTCCAGTTTTACTTCTCATATGGATGTCTAGTTTTATTCCATTGTTATTGAAGAGGTACTTTTGTATGATTTCAATCTTTTTAAATTTATTGAGGCTTTTTTTGTGACTTACTCTATGGTCTATGCTGGATAATGACCCATATGCACTTGAGAAGAATGTGTAGCTAGGAGCGGTTGCTCATGCCTGTGATCCCAGCACTTTGGGAGGCCAAGGCAGGTGGATCATGAGGTCAAGAGATAGAGACCATCCTGGTCAACATGGTGAAACCCTGTCTCTACTAAAAAAATACAAAAAATTAGCTGGGCATGGTGGTGCATGCCTGTAATCCCAGCTACTCAGGAGGCTGAGGCAGGAGAATTGCCTGAACCCAGGAGGTGGAGGTTGCGGTGAGCCAAGATCGCACCATTGCACTCCAGCCTGGGTAACAAGGGCGAAACTTCATCTCAAAAAAAAAAAAAACCAATGTGTTAGGTGGAGCATTTAGAACATGTCTGTTTGGCATAATGTAGTGTTGTTGAAGTTCTCTATTTCCTTATTAATTTTTGTCTCATTATTCTGTCCTTTATTAAAAGGGATGTAGTGAATTCTCCAATTATAATTTTAGAACCATCTGTTTCTCCCTTCAATGTTGTCAGTTTTTGCTTCATATACTTTGGGGTTCTATTATTAGGTATATATGTATATATTATAACTGTTATATCTTCTTGATGGATTGACCACTTAACAATATATAATGTCTTTCTTTATGTCACAATATTTTAAAATATATTTAACCTAACTGATAATCACCCAGCTCTCTTTTGCTCACTGTTTGCATAGAATACCTTTTCTATCCTTTTACTTTTAAGTTCTTTGTTTCTTCAGACCTAAAGTGAGTCTCTTGAAAGCAGCATATTAATGGATCCCATTTTTTTAGTCTATTCTGCCAGTCTCTGCCTTTTAATTGGATAGTTTAATCCATTTACCTTTAAAATAATTATTGATAAGGAAGGACTTATTTCTGCCATTTCACTGTTTGTTCTTTATATGTCTTATGCCTTTCTTTTTTTTTTTTTTTTGTTTGAGATAGGTTCTTGCTCTGTCACCTAGGGTAAGGTGCTGTGGTGCCATAACAGGTCACTGCATCCTCTAGCTCCTGGGCTCAAGTAATTCTTCCACTTCAGCCTCCTGAGCAGTTGGGACTATAGCCCTGCACCACCATGCCTGGCTACTTTTTTCTTTTGTAAAGACAAGGGTCTCACAATGTTGTGCAGGTTGGTCTCAAACTCCTGGCTTCAAACAATCCTTCCTCTCAGTCTCCCAAAGTGCTGAGACTACAGGTGAGCCACTGTGCTGAGCCTGTCATATATCTTTTGTATTCCTCATTTCTTCCATTACTGCCTACTTTGGTGTCTAATTGATTTTTGTTTTTTGGTATGATAACATTTTTTATTACTCTTCTCATTTCCTTTGCTGTATATTTTCAGTTATTTTCATAATGGTTAACATGAGATTACAATTAACATCTTAAAGCTATATCAACTTGGTTTGAATTAATACAAATTTAGTCTCAATATTATCCAAAAATTCTGTTTCTATACATCTCCACTTCTATATATTGTATTCATCACAGATTGCATCTTTATACATCGTGTGCCTGAAACATAGATTTATAACTATAGTTTTACACATTGTATGTATACCATGTAAGCAAAAAGAGAAGCTAAAGACCAAAGATACAATAATACTGACTTTTATCTTTACCTATGTAGTTACCCTTACCAGTGTTCTTTTTTTTTATTCATCAGGAAATGTCACAATTTCTCTTTGATTCTTGAAGGATAATTTTGCTAAATATATAATTCCAAGTTGACTTTTTTTCATTTCAGCACTTTAAATATATCATCTCACTGCCTTCTGGACTCCACGGTTTCTGCTTAGAAATAGTCTTTTAATTTTATTGCAGCTCTCTCATATGTGATGAGTCACCTTCCCTCTTGCTGCTTTCCAGATTTTCTCTTTGTCTTTGCCTTTCAACAGATTGATTCTAATGTGTTTCAGGGTCAGTCTCTTTGAGTTTATCCAGCTTGTAGTTCATTGAGCTTCTTTTTTCTATAGATTCATGACTTTCCTCAAATTTTGGAAATTTCAGTCATTATTTCTTCAATGTTCTCTCTCTTCTTTCTTTTTGGGACTCCAATTATGCACATGTTAGTATGATTGATGGTGTTCCTCAGGTCTCTTAGGACCATTCATTTTTTTATTCTGTTTTCTATTCCTGCTCCTCAGATTCAACTATCTCAATTAACCTATCTCCAACTTAGCTAATTTTTTCTCTGCCTGCTCAAATAAACTGTTGAAACCTTGTAAATTTTTTATTTCAGTTACTGTATACTTCAGTTCTAGAACTTCTATTTTTTTCTGTTTACAACTTCTATCTCTTTATTAACATTCTTGGTTTATACATCAGTATTTTTGTTTTCTTTCATCTTTGTCCATGGTTTATTGTAGATCTTTGAGCATATAAGAGAGTTGATTTAAAATTGTCTGGTAAGTCCAAAGTCTGTGCTTTCTCTCAAGAACAGTTTCTTTTCATAACTTTTTTCTGTGCATAGGCCATACTTCCTTGTTTCTTTTACATGATTTGTGATTTTTTTTGTTTAAAACTGAACATTTTAAATGTTATGTTAGAAATAAGGGAATAAAAGAAAAAAAGGTAGAAAAGAAAAGAAAAATACTCTCCAGGTCTTTCCTGGTTGGTTCCATGTTGGGACACACCTTTAGTTTTAATCCGGGCATTTACAAGTTTGCCTTAGCTCTCTCTTTTTTCTTGCACTTTGTGTAAGGACTAGCCAAAGTTAAAAGCCTATGGTCTTATCAAGTCTTTTCCAACCGTGCATGCTGCCCTGGGTATGCTTAGGTTCCCTGTTATAAGTGAGAACTTTTTAAAGCATTGATTCCAAAAAAAATTCTCAGTCCCAGCTTTTCCTTCTAGATTTTGGTGTGTTTATTATTGCCTTGATTGTTCTTTCTTGTCCCAGGAAGTAGTGCTAGTTCTTTTGCCTCTCAATGTTTTTGAGGAACACTGCCCTGAGAGAATTTTGAATTAGGTAAAACATAGGCAAGCCCTGATCCTTCAGAAAACCCATATAGAGGTCAAAACAAACAAAATTTCTTGAAAACAAGGACCACTCTGCTTACTCTAGGATCCAGGAGTCAGGACCCACTAAGAATGCAGGCTGCTATCTTCAAGATTCCCACAGCACTGTAGAGGGATGTGGGGCAAGGCTAAGTTACAATGCCACCAATCTTTTCTATCTTTTTTCAGTGGCCTTTCTTCTGATTAAGTGTTGACTTGGTTGCTGTAAACAATTAACTGTCTTCCAGAATTTTGCTGAAGTTGACTGTAACAGTTTTTACCAGATAATTTTTTTCTTTTTTGCTTTGGGGAGGGATGGACCTGAACAGTTCCTGTTCTACCATTTTTGCTGATGTCACTCGTAGACATTATTTGTTAGGACACTGGAATGTCTAGAGCAGAAAGGGTCTTGCTTATGAGCCTTAAATGCAGGTACACACACGTTTTCTCCAAAGTAGCTTTTAAAACACCCTTAACAGTTCTATCAGTCTCTTTTACCCATTTCTGAAGAAATGTCAGAATTATCTTCCAACAAGTAGATTTGGAAAATGAAAAAGAGGAATTAGTTAAGAAGGGATCCCAACTTTTGGTAGGGAAAATAGGGAATATAGTTGTGCCTTTAAGTAGATAGAAAAAGAGGAGACTATCTGGTAGTGAAGGGATAGATCAGGTTTGGATTTACTGGGGTCCTGAGGTGTCTGTGTGGTACACAGAATGTCTAGAGGGCAGTGGTTTTATATAGAAGTCTGTGGACACAGAGAGAGAATACACTAGAGACTGGGAGAGTGAACACTTTAAGATATTTTAAGATATCTTCTTACCCTTAGAATCCAAGGTATTTTACAGGTTCATTTCACCTGGACTTTTGCAGACAGTAAATCTCATGTTAACAATCCTCTCTTTTCCTAGATGCTCATTTATTTTCTCCCCAGTTTTCACTTCCCTGTCTTTATCCCACATAAAGACTTTGATGAATGAATAAAGGACATTAATTCTTGTCTTCCCAGAACTATAAAACCAAGGTTATGTCCATTACATTTACTTCTAATTCATTTTTATCTATCATTCTCAAACAAATTCAACAAAGGTAGAAATGTACAATTTATCTCAAAATCGTGGTCCCACGTCTAGCTTTACATGTCTATGTGAAAAGGGGCTGGAGCTTTAAAATATTGCCAGAGAGTTCTTCAAAAAAAACAAATGTATTTTTTCAACGTATGTCCTGGCATCAATTCAATTTCCACAAAGAAAATTATGCTCTGTTTTCCATTGCTATTGATTTTGTAGCACCAAGTGCTGTGGAGAAAGAATAAACAAGTTCCTCATTCTAATGCTGTGGCTTCCCTGGGACTCTAGGGACTGAAGAACTAGCCTCCAACTACCTTGCACACTAGCTATTTGTATTACCCCCAAGAAATATGAAAACATACAAGTTACTTCTCATTTTAACTCATGATTTTCACCTAACGCCATCTTTTGCCTCCTTTGTTCTGTTTTACAGATCCCAAAACCACAATCAGCCACAAAATCCTTGAATCCTGGATTGGTATGTGTATTAGTCCATTCTCATACTGCTATAAAGACATACCTGAGACGGAGTAACATAATGAAAAGAGGTTTAATTGGCTAATGGTTCTGTGGGCTGCACAGGCTTCTGCTTCTTGGAAGGCCATAGGAAAGTTACAATCATGGTGGAAAGCAAAGGAAAAGTAGGCACACATTCACATGGCCACCAGGAGTCGGGGTGGGGTACTACACACTTTTAAACAAGCACATCTAGGGAGAACTCTATCACAAGAACAGTAAGGGATAAGTCCACCCCCATGACTCAATCACCTCCCACCAGGCCTCTCCTCCAGCTTTGAGGATTACAATTTGACATGAGATTCAAGTGGAGACACAGAGCCAAACCATATCAGTATGAGTGTCTGATCCTTTCTTATCTGAGCCTTGTGGAGGTGGAGGTTGAGGGAGAGATTACTTTCCTAGACACCAAGTGCTCCGTCTCCCCCACCTTACCACAATCCACACTAGCTTTAGCTTCAGAAACCTGAGCTCAATCTTGCCTCATCCTTCATAGCTTCTCCTCTTATTCTACCTGTTTGGGACTGGTCCCTTATTTCTGGTGTAACTAGGGTTATGGGGTGGAGGAATAAGAAGGGGCCTGAGGGTTGTATGCTCTCCTCCTCATACCAACTCATGCCACTCTCCCAGGTGGTCCCCACTTGAGGATCATGGAAAGAGAAGGAGAGTCCCTCAGCCTGCTAGCATGGACCTTATTGAGAATGGTGCCCTGGAAGAGGTTGCCTTTGGGAAAGTTGCTTAAGATCATTCTCTCTCCTTTTCCGACCACATTTCTCCTCCCTTTTCTGGCAAGCCTGCCTTTGCAGCTAAGCAAGTTCACATCAGAAGCTGCAGGACCTGTGTAATAGCCGCAGATCCCTGGATCAAATGTGCACTAGCACCTTCTCTCCCTTTCCTTAGACTTTTCCACCCTACAGAGAATTTAAAACATTCACCACAAATTTCATTATCAGTTTTCTACAATCTAATTTCCCCTGGAAAATTTTGCTCTTGAGGATCCATTTGAAAGAACCCACTCTCCTAAACTAAGCCATTTATAAACTTCATGGAGATCCTGAACCCACATTTTCAGCAGGAATGACAAAGGAAAGCCCCTTTAGCCCTCCATCATCAATCCTCAGCCTGAAGAGAAGCACAAAATTGATGAAAAGAGAGGAGCACCTCTCCTTCAGCCTGGAACTTTGTGTCAATCTAAGGCAGTATTTCTCAAAGTGTGGACCCCAACTAGCTAAGACCCCTAGTTATAACTCAAAAGTCCTTGATCCTACCCCAACTCCTGTGAATTATTGGCTCTGAAGGATTGAGCCAAGGAATATGTCTCTAACAAGCACCTCAGGTAATTCTCACCCACGCTAAATTTAAATTCTTCTCCAGAGGTTGATGAATCTGACCATCAAATAGGATAGGATGGACCTTGCTTTGAGTTAATTGTATAAACAAATGTCCTGATTTGGACTCAATGCCCGAAGGGTTAGGTCTACTCCTGCTCATTGTCTCTTTCAGAGCTCTCTCCACTCCAGCTTCTCTCCAGTGCCATAGATAGGGAATGTGTGCCTAGTCTCTCTTCACTTATGCAGCCTGTGATAGAAATATTTGCCCCTCTCCTTTCATAAGGTCGAGGACTGGTGACCCTGCATGGTTCTAAATGGAAAAAGCATCGCCAGATTGTGAAACCTGGCTTCAACATCAGCATTCTGAAAATATTCGTCACCATGATGTCTGAGAGTGTACGGGTGATGCTGGTAAGAGGAGAGGAGAGCATTCCTACCTGGCCTCTGAAGTGAGATGCTTCCAGCCATATGGCATGGGAGACTCTGACTTCCCTCAGAACCATGTTCACAGCAGTTTATATGGGGTTATTTGATGTTTGGACCATGATCATTATCATCAGGGCAAGGACCCTGCCTTGTATACCCAACACTTCTCACAGGGATGGACTCAGGGTGGGTGCTCAATGACAACTACTTAGATGGATGAGTGAATGAGTGAGTCCAGGAGACTCACTACATTGGGAGAAAGCAAGGCAGAAGAGCACAGACAACAACAGGAGTAGCCACCCCAACATAGAGAAGTGTACCATGTCCAGGAGGTCAAGTCAGGAAAGATTTCCTAAGGATGGTGACAGGAGCTGAGTCTTGGAGAATGGGCAGGATTTCTATAGATGAGGTGTCAGAGAGAAGACTGCCTTGTGGTCAAAAAAAAGAAGAGCTTTAGCTTTGCTGAGGCAGAAGAGGGTACAGAGACATTTCACAAGACTATCTAGAACCCCTAGAGAAGACACAGTTGTATGTCTCCACATCTGTCCTCTTGGAGTTTGGATGGCAGAGACATGCCAGGTGGTTTTGAGCACACCTAAGATCTATTTCAGTGGTCCTGAGTGAGGTGATTGTGGCAACTCAAAGACTAAGTTTCTAAGATTCCAGAAACTGGGTAAAGAATTCTACACACAGGATCTCAATCCTAGTCACAAAGACTTATTAATGATACAGGGCCTCAGAGACATGAGATCTCAACACGTCACCTTGGATTCATACTTGATCCGTACTTTCCAGTGAGCCATGCTGCTATCTTTTATGACCCTCATCACCATGCCCACGTCCCATTCCAAAATAAAAATCAAAGCAAAATATATAAACACAGTGACTGCAAATATCTTTCTAAGCACTTACTATGTATCAGGCTCATTATGTCCTTTTATACTACCCCAGTCTTAATAATGTTAGTGTATTATCCCCATTTTGTTAGTAAGGATATTGAGATGCAGAGACTAAGCAGTTTGTTCAAAGTCACAGGCAGGCCAGGCACAGTGGCTCATGCCTATAATCCCAGCACTTCGGGAGGCTGAGGTGGGTTAATGGCGTGAGCCCAGGAGTTCAAGACCAGCCTGGCCGAGATGGCCAAACCCTGTCTCTACTAAAAATACAAGATCATAAGGCAGATTAGAAGAAGGGTTGTGTTCAAACTCAAGCCTCCTTGAGTTGGCAGAGCGCACCCTGAACTGATGCACCTCTCCTCCAGTCTAAGGCTTCTTCCTGATGCCCTCTTCAGCCCGCTGCAACCAGTGCCTCTCCTTGCAATGCCCTTACTAAAACAGACGCCACCCCCATTATCACCTGCCTCTTGCCCTTTCTCCACTCTTCTTGGCTCCATGACAATTGCAGTCTTTCAGAACACCTGGTTTTAATAGCATGTTTGGAGACAAGCTTTCAAATAGAATTAATTAATTCACATTACAGAGTTCATAACAGCTTCACAGTGTATAAATATTTATATTGAAGTGGAGAACTTCATCTCGATAAACATTTGGCTTTTGACAAAGTGAAATTTTCTGGGATATTGGCTGGTGTGTCCAAGGGGGTAAATACCTCTGGATTCTACTTTGAGGTTTTTCTGTCTCAACTCGTGGCTGCAAACTCTTTGAGAACAGGAACTGTACCTAATTCCTCTCTAAGTTCTCACTGGATCTGGGAAAAAAACTTGTCAAGTATTAAATATTTTTAGAAATCTTTTTCTAGAATCAAAAACCTCTATTTATTTATGCTTTCCACAGATGCTTTTGAATTCTTACTTGTTTTTTATTCCATATTTTGTTAGCTTAGTTTTTCCATGATAAAAGTTACAAAATCATAGGACCAAAATTTAGGAAAAGAGAAAAAAAGCTATTTTCCCAGCCTAACAAAGTCATAAATAGTGTCCAAGCCACAGTTTTCATTTTCAGTCCTGACAAGTTGTTTTATTTTATATGGTTGTCATGATACAGCAAATTCATTTTGCACACTTTATATTTTCAAACACCAAAAATCTCTAAAAGGTGCACAAAATAACTTAGAAATTGGGAAGAGATGGGCATGTGTATGATCATGATATTCATCTCCTTCCCCAGAACAAATGGGAGGAACACATCGCCCAAAACTCATGTCTGGAGCTCTTCCAACATGTTTCCCTGATGACCCTGGACAGCCTCATGAAGTGTGCCTTCAGCCACGAGGGCAGCATCCAGTTGGACAGGTCAGTGACAAAAGGAAGGTACTTGTTCACCAATAACTGTGTCACCCACTAACATGGTGTCCCGTCTTCCCTCTTCTAGTACCCTGGACTCATACTTGAACGCAGTGTTCAACCTTGCCAAACTGTCCTTCCAGCGCATGAACAATTTTCTACATCACAATGACCTGATTTTCAAATTCAGCTCTCAAGGCCAAATCTTTTCTAAATTTAACAAAGTGCTTCAGCAGTTTACAGGTTAGTCCTGGGATTTACCTGGCCAGAATCCACTATAAGACATCTCATTGTCTGAGACATAGACTCTGGTTATGGCTGCTTCTACTATGGACACATGGCATGGCTGTCATTCAGAAATGCTAATTTGTACCTCTTAAATGAATGTGCTGTATAAGTCCTAGGTATAGCATACTATATTATTGAGTATATATCTGCATTGCAGTGTTTGGAATTAGAACTAATATAATACAATAAGCAAAGCATCTGTCTATTTTGCTTCATTTCTTATGGATTATCTTCAGATGTGAAGAAAAGTAAAAGTGAAAGGAAGTACATTTCTGTGGGAAGACAGAGCAGGACATCTGAGCAAGTACCAGACGCATGTGGTACTGCATACCATGCAGTTTGTCAAACACACAGCACACCACTGGTTATTCCTTTTGCATGGCTTTTTGGGAGCTTAGGATGTAGATAACTTTGAGGGACCAAAAATCTACCTATGACAATACCCATTTACAATTGGAATATATTTCTGATTTATCATTTTATCTTGATAAAACTGGCCTCTTTTTCTCTGTTAATGCTTCTAGTCTTAAGATCTACTTTATCTGATACTGGTAGTATGATAACCTCTGCTTTTCTTCGGTTAATAGAATAGTATGTTATTCTATACTCTTTTTTTTGGCATTTCTGTGTTCTTATATTTGAGATTTGTGTCTTTTTTTCTTTTTTATTTCTCTCTTTTTTTTTTAGACAGAGTCTCACTTTATCACCCAGGCTGCACTGTGGTGGCACCATCTTGGCTCTCCAGAGCTTCAACCTCCCAGATTCAAGCGATCCTCCTGCCTCAGCCCCCCAAGTAGCTGGGACTATAGGTGTGTGCCACCACACCGGGTAAACTTTTGTATTTTTTGTAGAGGCAGGGTTTCACCATTTTGCCCAGGCTGGTCTCGAACTCCTGAGATCAAGCAATTTGCCTGCCTCAGCCTCCCAAAGTGCTAGGATTATAGGCATGAGCCACTGTGCCCAGCCTAGATTTATTTCTTATATGCAGCATATATTTAGATTTTGTTAATGTCATCTGAAAATCTTTGTGTTTTAGTTGGAGCATTTAAACCACTTATATTTAATGTAATCACTAGAATATTTGGATTTAAACATGCCATATAACTGTTTGTTTTCTATTTAACCCAATTTTATACCTTTTACATTATATTAATTGCTGGATCATTTTATATTATTACTTTTTGTTTTAGATCGTAAGTTTCGTTTTTGTGGGTATGCTAGAAATTACAACATGCAGCCTTTATTTGTTAGAATCTAACATATGTAATTACGTTAATACCTCCCTGAAAATGCAAGGATCTTACAGCATTTGAACCTCTATTTACTACTTCCCATATTTTTAAATATTGTTGTGATGGGCTTTTTAAACAATTTTTTCTTAAGTTCTGAGGTATATGTGCAGGATGTGCAGGACTGTTACATAGGTAAGCATGTGCCACGTTGGTTTGCTGCACCTATAAACCCAACACCTAGGTACTAAGCCCAGCATGCATTAGCTCTTTTCCCTAATGCTCTCCCCCGCCCTCTCCCCTGAGAGGCTCCAGTAAGTGTTGTTCCCCTCCCTGTGTCCATGTGTTCTCACTGTTCAGCTCCCACTTATAAGTGAGAACATGCTGTGCTTGGTTTTCCATTCCTGCGTTGTTGTGTTATATTTTGACTCTATGAATTTACTTTCAACTTTCATTTTAGATTCGGGGGTTACACATGCAGGTTTGTTACCTGGGTAGATTGCATGATGCTGAGGTTAGGTACAAATGATCTCATCACCCAGGTATTAAACGTAGTACCCAATAGTTAGCTTTTCAACATTGCCCTTCCTTCCCATCTATTGTCTATTGTTCCCATCTTTACGTCCATACCCAATGTTTAGCTCCCACTTATAAGTGAGAATATGCAATATTTGGTTTTATGTGGCTGCATTAATTCACTTAGGTAATGGCCTACTCCTGCATCCATGTCATGGCAAAGGACATGATTTTGTTCTTTTATATGGCTGTGTAGTATTCCCAGTTTATATGTACCACATTTTCTTTATCTAATCCACCATTGACAGGCACCTAGGTTGATTCCATGTCTTTACTATTGTAAATAGCATGGCAATGAACATGCAAGTGCATGTGTATTTTTGGTAGAATGATTTGTTTTCTTTTGGATATATGCCCAATAATGGGATTGCTGGGTCAAATGGTAGTTCCATTTTTAATTCTTTGAGAAATCTCCAAACTGGTTTCCACAATGGCTGAGCTAATTTACATTCCTACCAACAGTGTATAAGCATTCCCTTTTCTCCACAGCCTTGTCAGCCTCTGTTATTTTTTGACTTTTTGCTAATAGCCATTCTGCCTGGCGTAAGATGGTATCTCATTTTGGTTTTGATTTGCATTTCTTTGATGATTAGTGATGATTAACATTTTTTTCATGTATTTGTTGGTCACTTGTATGGCTTCTTTTGAAAAGTATCTGTTCATGTCTTTAGCCCATTTCTAATGGAGTGATTTGTTTTTTACTTGTAGAATTGTTTAAGTTCCTTACAGATTCTGAATATTAGACCTTTGTCAGATGCATAATTTGTGACTATTTTTTCCCATTCTGTAGGTTGTTGACTCTGTTGATAGTTTATTTTGCTGTACAAAAGCTCTTTAGTTTAATTAGGTCCCATTTGTCATTTTTTGTTTTGGTTGCAATTACTTCTGAGGACTTAGTCACAAATCCTTTCCCAAGACCAATGTCCAAAATGGTGTTTTCTAGGTTTCCTTCTAGGTTTCTTATAGTGTGAGGTCTCATATTGAAATCTTTAGTCTATTTTGAGTTGGTTTTTTATACAATGATAGGTAGGGGTCCAGTTTCATTTTTCTGCATATCCATTTGTTGAATAGATAGTCTTTATTCCATATTCCATTTATTGAATAGATAGTCCTTTCCTCATTGCTTATTTTTGTTGACTTTGTCAAAGATCAGATGCCTATAGGTGTGTGGCTTTATTTCTGGGTTCTTTAACTAACCTGTTCCATTGGTGTGTGTTTCTGTTTTTGTACCAGCACCATGCTGTTTGGTTACTGTAGCCTTATAGTATAGTTTGAAGTCAGGTAATGTGATGCCTCTAGTTTTGTTCTTTTTTGTTAGAATTGCTTTGGCTATTCAAGCTTTTTTTTTGGTTCCATATGGATTTTAGAATAGCTTTTTCTAATTCTGTGAAAAATTGGTAGTTTGATAGGAATAGCATGGACTCTGTAGATTGCTTTGGGCAGTATTGATACTGCTCCTAAGACTGGAGTAAGTGACACAGACACATGTGGAGTGGTTTTGAGGAGCAGAGAGTTTAATAAGCAAGAAAGAAAACAACTCCCCAGTAAAGAGACAGAGGAAGGGAGGTTCAGAACAAAGAGAAACCCCCTGTGTGGTGGGAAAGTCAGTTATATGGGAGGCTGGAGGAGGTGGTGTCTGATTTGCATAGGGCCCAGGGGATTAGTTTTGTCAGGTGTGTCATTCACCTAGCCTGTGAAAAACGTGGCCCTCCCACCTTAGCCTTTTAATATGTAAATGTAGGGCACCATGATGTTCTGAACACATGGTGTTACCTGGAGGTGGCCGTAACACTTGGTTCACCCGGTGACAAGGAGAAGAGGGCGGTTATCACCATGTTGGCCGTGTTGGGTGGACCTAGTTTCTAATTGCCGGCATTTGCATATTAATGCTTGCTGGCCTGGCTCTTAAAGCCACCTTTCTGTTCAAAAAGAAATAATTTGTGGGTTGCTTTTATTTGAAAAAAAACTTTACCAAGCACTCCTTTCACCCTCTCTCTCTACCTAAAAATTTTTTAATAACTCCTGTATTATTCCTCCCCTCAAAAGAAGCAAACATAACTGCTTTTCGGGGGTGTTGGACGACAATTCTTTCTGGCTGCTTCCTATTGAAAAGGGGCATCATGTGGGAGAACAGCAGTTGGGCCACCTCCTGAGGTTGATCTAACGGTTCTTGGAAAAATGGCATGTTCGTGTGTGGCGCCGCTTGCAGCACTGTTTGGAGTTTGATTGCTTCCAGGTGAAAAGAGATAAATTGTACAAGAAGCTTTAAAGTATATGGTTAGAATATGAGTATTAAGAGTATCACTGTTAGTGGGGATCTATCCTATAGACGATACATGAGTTTGGCACCTGTTAGTTACACCAATGGATTGCAATGTTGATTTGCCTCCCTTAGGTGTCGCTGTACATTATCAGAAACACTAAAAAGTAACAAATCCCAGCACTTTGGGAGGCCGAGGCAGGTGGATCACGAGGTCAAGATATCGAGACCATCCTGGTCAACATGGTGAAACCCCGTCTCTACTAAAGATACAAAAAATTAGCTGGGCATGGTTGTGCGTGCCTGTAATCCCAGCTACTCAGGAGGCTGAGGCAGGAGAATTGCCTGAACCCAGGAGGCGGAGGTTGCAGTGAGCCGAGATCGCGCCATTGCACTCCAGCCTGGGTAACGAGCGAAACTCTGTCTCAAAAAAAAAAAAAAAGTAAAAAAAAGAAAAAAAGCATACATTTCCCCCTGACTTGCTAAGACAGAATAACTTCAGGCTTGGACCATTTTTATAATTTGCAATATGACTGGAAGAAATGTGATACTGGATGGCTAAAATAATCTTAGCGTTGGTCTTGACAATTCCTTTCCTTTAATGGCTAAAACAACTTTAGCATTAATCTTGACAATTCCTTTCCTTTAATTTTTAAATTTTTTGTGACTTTCACGGACCCTCTTACAACATACTTAAACTTTCTGACTTGTCCTAAACATTCTTCCTTTAAACAACCAGTCATTTTTTTAGGACAAGTATTTACATACAAAAGCCTTTCTTCTACAAAATCTCGTTCTTTATAACCTTCTCTGTATAGCTTAGAGTGCATTATATTAGCAACCTTTAATAAAAAGCCCCATTAAACTTAATGATAGTAAACATGCTTGCTTCTTATCCATAACTATTACTCCTGCTATACAGGAGTTTAACTATTACTCCTGCTATACAGGATTGTTTAAGCAAAACAATCTTGACTAAATCTTTCCTGCAATTATTAATCCTGTTATAAGGATGATAATTAGGCAAAATATTACATCAATTAGAATTTTACAACCAGAATTCTACATTGTGGGTGCTACAATGTATAGTTCTTTTGCAAATAGTAGCATGACTATAACAATTCCCACAAGAGTGGCATAGTAAATAATTTCCTTTTAAAACTTTACTTGCCAGGATCACGAGGTCAGGAGTTCAAGGCCAGCCTGACCAAGATGGTGAAACTCCCTCTACTAAAAATACAAAAAATTAGCCAGGCATGGTGGCAGGCACCTGTAATCCCAGATACTTGGGAGGCTGAGGCAGAGAATTACTTGAACCTGGGAGGCAGAGGTTGCAGTGAGCCAAGATTGCACCACTGCACTCCAGCTTGGGCAGCAGAGTGAGACTCTGAAAAACAAAAACAAAAAAACTTTACTTGCCAAGACATAACATTTCCTTTTGGGGATTTACAAAGTTACAAATGCGATCCTATGAAGAATTAAAATCTCCCTGAAAATATGCGTTAAAAAGAAGTTTTAATATTTGACAGTGAACTTTGAGAAGAAAAGTTAAAAATAACAAAAAGTATCTGGTGAGGTAGGAGACCACCTAAGATGAGTAGCCCTTACTAAGTTACTTATGTTTTGTGATTTTCAGTTTAAGATCCTCTATTTCTTCACATTGGCAATCACGACGTTCCTCTGGGCTGTCAGGTGTTGCTCCCCCAGCTCTTCAGGCTTCAACTTGAGTGTGATGTATCCAGGAGTTGATTTCTGTAACTTTTACTGCCGAGGGGGTTGAAAGAAGAACAGTGCAGGGCCTTTTCTAGCTTGACTTAGGGAAGGAGACAGAGATGAGAGTTTTCACTAACACCAAATTTCCTGGGTTAAATAAAGGTGTGTCTATTTCCTGGGGTTGGGTTCCTGCTAGCTGTGTTAAGTTCTACTGGAAGTGAGCTAGAGAGTTTACGTGCTTAACCAATTTAGAGGTTTCCTGCCTGAAACAGTCTCTTAGTACATTGATAAGGTTTTGTCCTTTCCCAAGTGGAAAGCTTGGTAAAGGATTTTAAGGACTTTCCATTGGCTGCTTATCCTGCCTTATGTACTGCTTGCTTTACTGGCTATTTGTTAGCTAAGAGCTCCCCCTAGAGGACGGTAATTCTGCCATGTCATGTGGAGTGTAAACCGTTAAATTATTTCCTAGGGTTAACTTGGAGGCTTTTTTCTTTTTGTTTTCTTTTTATTTATTTTATTATTATTACTTTTTTTTTAGATAGAGTCTTGCTCTGTTGCCAGGCACCAAGCTGGAGTGCAGTGGCGCGATCTTGGCTCACTGAAACCTCCACCTCCCAGGTTCAAGCAATTCTCCTGCCTCAGCCTCCTGGGTAGCTGAGACTACAGGCGCATGCCACAACGCCCAGCTAATTCCTTAGTTTTTTGGGTTTTTTTTTGGGTTTTTTGCATTTTTTGGTAGAGACAGGGTTTCACCATGTTGGCCAGGATGGTCTCAATCTCTTGACCTCATGATCTGCCCGCTTCAGCCTCCCAAAGTGCTGGGATTACAGACTTGGGCCACCGCGCCCGGCCCTATTTTTCTTTTTCTTTTGCCTTCTCTGCAGTACCATGGAGGCTTCTTTTGACAGCAGAGCTATTATAACAATGGCTTGGAAGCATGTGTAAACAATAGGTTCTTCTAACTGCAACTAAGGTTGAGAAAAATATTGGATTAGAGCTTTTCCTGAGATGCCCCTTCCGGTAGTGCTATGGGAAGAGGGGGGCCTAGATTAGAGGGAAGAAAGGAGAGACACTGGCTCTAGGGCTTAGAAGGAGGCCTGCTTTTTTTTCATTTCCAGAATCACCCACAGCTCCTGTGCTATAATGGCAGTTTGAGCCCCAGGACCCATCAGTCCTGCTAGACCATCTGTGAGACTCGTCCTGAGCCCAGTGACCTCCGTCTCTAGGGGCAGTTCCATCTCCAGTGATCTCCGCCACAGGCTGGACAGGGTCGAGATGGCTTCGTCTTGCTGCCTGGGCATTCCTTCTTAAAATGCCTTGGCCTGCCACGCCGATGGCAGCCAGCAGATGCACCTCGGGGATCCTGGACTTTGCAAGCCTGCAAAGCTGCTGCTACAGCCTCTGTCCTCCTGAGCGTTCTCGCTTTCTTTAGGGCCTCCTCTTAGTCCCTATTATAAAAGACCGAAGTGGCCACCTCCAGGAGGTTCTCTAAGGTGCTATCTGGTCCTGTAGCTTCCTTCTGTACTTTCCTCCTCACATCGGGAGCTACCTGTGTAATAAACTTGTCCTTCAGGATGAGCTGTCTCTCAACTGAATTAGGAAATAAGGAGGCTTGTTCTATTAGTGCCTCTCTCAGCCTTTCCACGAAGGCTACAGGATTCTTACTTGGCTTTTGGTCTATTATAGACAGTTTTGAGTAACTGAAAGGTTTGCTGCTGGTCTTCCGTAAGCCTTCTAAAATGCATATTAAAGAGTGCTTTGTTTTAATTTATCTTCTGAGTTATTGGATTCCAATTCGGGTTGTTTATCAGAATTGCTTCCCTCCCAATTGGGAATGGTGTTTTTGCTATTTCTTCACTTTCCCTATGTGCTTTCTTCCCTTTTGGTGGATTATGGGAGACATATTGCTCATCTATGAAATTGTCTGCTGCTTGCAGAGCTGCCTGCTTTTTAGGTGCTGTAAGGGTCTGGTTTAGGAGCAGCATAACATCCTCCCATGTGAGGTGAAATTCCTGAGTTACATTTTGGAAAACTTCTATATACCTATCAGGATCTTTAAAAAATTGGCCTATTGCCTAAGGTCCTGCAACGAGAAGGGAGCTTGAAGGGGCCCCAAGTAAGGGGGCTCCTCAGATGGTTTCCCTAGTGGTTACCGCTCTAATTTGGGGAAACTATTCTTCTTGGACCTGCCTGATATGATTGTTAAAACATCTGGGTTGATCTTGGAATGTTTGCAAAGCTTTAGTAAAAACGCCTTCTTGTTGAAGTGCTGAGGTTCAAGAAGTTCCCGTGTTTCAGCGTGCACTCCAGAGGGACGCCAGCTGAAGATAATCTGTTACCCATCTGAAAAAAGAAGTGAGAATTATTTTGGTCTCCATCTTTTCCATATGACTCAGGGTGGAGGAGAAGACGGGGAGCATCCTTCTGGCTGTTTTTCCTCCCTGGTTCTTGGATCCCAGCACCCTGTTAAATGTGCCACCCATCATTGAAGGCGTGGTCCTCCAAGCCATGGAACTGTTTGAACTAAGTGATGCTTTACCCACACAATCTTGGTTATCTACCTTGTGTATTTCCCCTTTTGACTTCCTAAACCTGTGTGATTTGCCTGGCTCCCCCAAAAAATGGATCATTAGAGGGACTGTCATTTTTGCACAAGGCTCCTTTAATGGGGGCAATGTGCCAAATTGCCTGCTATTGTGGCACATACTAAAGCATTTATCCTTAGAAAAATGGTTGCAGTTAACTTCCAAACTTAAAATTAAAATTCCCTTACTAAGTACCATTTTATTTATTTATTTATTTTGAGATGGAGTCTTGCTCTGTCACCAGGCTGGAGTGCAGTAGTGCGAGCTCAGCTCACTGCAATCAATTTCCACCTACCAGATTCAAGTGACTCTCCTGCCTCAGCCTCCTGAGTAGCTGGGATTACAGGCATGTGCCACCACCACACCCAGCTAATTTTTGTATTTTTAGTACAGATGGGGTTTTACCATGTTGGCCAGGATGGTCTCTATCTCCTGACTTCATGATCCACCTGCCTCAGCCTCCTGAAGTGCCGGGATTACAGGCGTGAGCCACCTCGTCCCTCCCTAAGTACCATTTTAATAGGAAACAAACAAAGTGTCTTAAAAGAATGGTAGGAACTGAGTAGCTGTTTTCCTGCTGATGGGACAATATTGAGAATAAAATTTGGCTGTGGAAGACATTTTACTGCTAATTGCTAAAGGCAGAACTTTCCTGTTTACAGAAGTAGCTTAGAGCCTGGTTTCCAGTAGGAAAGGCACAAAAAGGAAACGCTGGAAAGCTGCAATGCACTGCAGAGAACCAACAGTGCATGTTATAGAGAGGATTTCTGTTTCCACTGGCCATTTATCAGTTTCAGGAGCCTTTTGGCAGTCTTCAGGGTTTTCCAGACATAGAATTTTACCATCTAGAAAGAGAGACAGTTTGATTTCTTATTTTCCTATTTGGATGCCTTTTATTTCTTTCTCTTGCTTGATTGCTCTGGCTAGCATTTCCAGTACTATGTCGAATAGGAGTGGTGAGAGTAGGCTTCCTTGTCTTGTTCCAGTTCTCAAGGGGAATACTTTCAGTCTTCCTCCACCACTGAATTTGACCACCAGTCTCTACCATGAGATATGACATCTCATCTTTTTCTTTAGCTTTTCTTTCAAACCAAATCCTAGGTTGTAGAAATTAAGCTCTGGGATTGGTAACAATACCCTACATCACGAACAAATTTTACAAGACTTGAATTCATTTTATGTACCAAGCACCTCTAAGCATATATGTGAATCACCTCTGACCTTTACAAAACCCTGCATAGTACATTTGAACATCCTTATTTGAAGGAAGCAAAATTGTGGTTCAAAAGGTGAAGTACCTGTAGGTCAGGGATGGGACTATTTTAAAGAAAGACAACTGGTGGTGATATCCCTTACCAACTCAGAAAGGTGGGGGGTGGGGCAAGGGCTACTTAGAGAGCACCAGCTTCTCAGAACTACGTTTGGCTTTGATTGAATTTTCAGTAACCTTGATAATAAAAAAGATAATTTTTCCACTAGAGAAAGTAATCCAGGACCGGAAGGAGTCTCTTACGGATGAGCTAAAACAAGATACTATTCAGAAGAGATACCAGGATTTTCTGGACATTCTTTTGAGTGCCAAAGTAAGTCTTCCAAACTTCTGAACACATTCAACTCAATAATTAAATAATAAAGAAATAGGCCAGGTGCAATGACTCACACCTATAATCCAGCACTTTGGGAGGCCAAATTGGGCAGATCACTTGAGGTCAGGAGTTTGAGGCCAGCCTGGCCAACATAGGGAAACCTGGTCTCTACAAAAAATCAAAACTTATCTGGGCCTGGTGGTGCGTGCCTAGAGTCCCAGCTACTCGGAGGCTGAGGTGGGAGAATTGCTTGAACCCAGGAGGTGGTAGAGCAAGACTCTGTCTCAAAAAATAATTAAGTGCAATTAAAATAACAAATAAATAAATTAGAAAAACGTACTTATTTGATAATTGACGTATATTGAACTTCCCTTGTAAAGATTTGCCTCCTTGTCCTCCCAGGGCTTTCTTTCATGCCTCCAATGTCACATTTTAATTTTGTGGGAACCTGTATGTCTTTTCCCAAGGCCACAAGATGCTGAAACCTTCTTCCTCAACATGTGGTCTATAGACCAGCAGCATTGGTAAAACCTGGGAGCTTGTTAGAAATGCAGAATCTCAGGCTCTATCTCAGACCTAGTGGGTTAGAATCTTCATTTCAGCACATCCCCAGGTGATTCATTTGCAATTAGAGTTTGCAAAACCCCATCCTCGAAGACTAGGATCATATTCCGTTCCCATTTCCCTGGTGACCAGCACAGTGCTTGGTGACTGGCTCATGAGGTGTCCATGGGATGTTAATGAGAAAAGTGAAGGACTTGGGAATTGACAGTCACTCAATATATGACAACTCTTGTCACACACCAGGCTAGCAATCCTGTAAGGATAAAATTAGATTACATGTGTAAAGATCCTGACATGTAGAGAGAAAAACAATATTTTTACTTTATTTTGTGTTTATTGTATATTTTAATACCTATTTATTCATGATTTTTGCTTATTGCCAAGCACCTTCAACCCTTACCATAACAACCTGTGAGGTGTTTATAAATATCTTTATTTAAAGAAGAGAAATTGTGGCCCAAAAAGTGAAGTCAACTGCTCACTAACTTACCTAAAACTAACAAAGCCAGGATTTAAGACAGTTCTGCCTCCGTCCAAATCCCATGCCATTTCCATTGTACCAGACAGCACCATGTGAACATAATTTCCGTTGTCATCTCCAAGTGTTCAATAAATATTTGCTGAATTTAATTGTACCGAATTATTTGAGGGAACAAAAATAAATACTCTGTGAACTCAACTTTCATTGTGTTGACTACTTTTTTCATGTGAAACATGAGTCTTCCTAAACCAAGACTACTAAGAACAAGGCACCGCAAAATGAGGTGGAGTTGGAAATGAAATAAAATCGCCAGGAACTAATGACTTGTTTAAAAAAAAAAAAAAAAAAAAGACATTTAATTTTCTGCTGAGCATGGTGGCTCATACTTGTAATCCAGCGACTCAAGAGACAGAGACAGGAGGATCACTTGAAGCCAAAAGAGGCAGGAGGATAACTTGAGTCCAGGAGTTTGAGACAAGCCTGGACAACACAGCAAGACGCCACCGCTACAAAAAAAATTAAAAATTATCCAGATGTGGTGGCAGTGCCTGTAGCTCTAGCTACTCTGGAGGCTGAGGTGGAAGGATCATGTGAAGAGGAATTCAAAGCTGATCACGCCACTGCACTCCAGTCTGTGTGACAGAGCAAGACATCCACTCTAAAAATAATAGTAATAAAATAAAATGACATTTTCTGATTGGAAGAAGAGTACACATTGTTTTTTATTTTTAGTTTATATCAGTATTTCTTTTTGATTTCCAGCTCTTAAGTTCAGGGGTACACATACAGTATGTGCAGGTTTGTTACATAGGTAAATGTGCCATTGTGGTTTGCTGCACAGATCATCTCATTATCTAGATATTAAGCCCAGCATCCATTAGCTTTTTTTTTTTTTACTGAGTCTTACTCTGTCACCCAGACTGGAGTGCAGTGGTGCGATCTTGGCTCACTGCAACCTCTGCCTCCTGGGTTCAAGCAATTCTCCTGCCTCAGCCTCCCAAGTAGCAGGGACTACAGGTATGGGTCACCACCATGCTTGGCTAATTTTTGTATTTTTAGTAGAGATGGTGTTTCGCCATGTTGGCCAGGCTGGTCTCAAACTCCTGACCTCAAATGATTCACCCGCCTCAGCCTCCCAAAGTACTGGGATTACAGGCATGAACCACCTTGCCTGGCCTCATTAGCCGTTCTTGATGCTCTCCCTCCTCACAGCCCCCACCCTCCAACAGGCCCCAGGTGCGTTGTTCCTGCATCATGTGTCCATGTGTTCTCATCATTCAGCTCCCATTTATAAGTAAGAACATGTGGCATTTGGTTTTCTGTCCCTGTGTTAGTTTGCTGAGGATAATGGCTTCTAACTCCAGCCATGTCCCTGCAAAGGACATAATCTTGTTCCTTTTTGTGTCTGCATGGTATTCCATAGTATATATGTACCATATTTTCTTTATCCAGTCTATTATTGATGGGCATTTGGGTTGATTCCATGTCTTTGCTATTGTGAATAGTGCTGCAGTGAACATATGTGTGCATGTATCTTTATAATAGAATGATTTGTATTCCTTTGGGAATATTCCCAGTAATGGGATCATTGGGTCAAATGGTATTCCTGCCTCTAGGTCTTCGAGGAATCACTAGACTGTCTTTCACAATAGCTGAACTAACGTATACTCCCACCAGCAGTGTAAAAGCGTTCCTTCTTCGCCACAATTTCCCCAGCATCGGTTGTTTTTGAATTTTTATTAACAGCCATTCTGACTGGCATGAGATGGTATCGTATTGTGATATTGACTTGCATTTCTCTAATGATTAGTAATGTTGAGTTTTTCATGCTTGCTGGCCACATGTATGTCTTCCTCTGAGAAGTATCTATTCATGTCCTTTGCTCACTTTTTAATGGTTTTTTTTTTCTTGTAACTTTAAGTTCCGTGTAGATGCTGGATATTAGGCCTTGTCAGATGGATAGATTGAAAACATTTTCACTATTCTGTAGGTTGTGTATTCACTCTAATGATAGTTTATTTTGCTGTGCAGGGAATCTCTTTAGTTTAATTAGGTCCCATTTGTCAATTTTTGTTTTTTGTTGCAATTGCTTTTGGCTTCTTCATCATGAAATCTTTGCCTATGCCTATGTCCTGAAAGGTATTGCCTAGATTTTTGTCTGGGGTTTTTGTAGTTTTGGGTTTTACATTTAAATCTTTAATCCATCTTGAATTGATTTTTCCACATAATGTAAGGAAGTTTCCATTTTCTGCATATGGCGAGTCAGTTCTCTCAGCATCATTTATTAAATAGGGAGTCCTTTTTGCATTGCTTGTTATTGTTGACTTGGCTGAAGATCAGGTGATTGTAGGTGTGCAGTCTTATTTCTGGGTTCCCTATTCTGTTCCATTGATCTCTGTGTCTGTTCCTGTACCAGTACCATGCTTTTTTAGTTACTGTAGTCTTGTAGTATAATTTGAGGTTGGGTAGCATGATGCCTCCATCATGCTTGGTTGGTTGGTTGGTTGTTTTTGTTTGTCTGGCTCAGGATTGTCTTTGCTATTCAGGTTCTTTCTGGATTCCGTATGAATTTTCTTTTTCTTTTTTGAGACTGAGTTTCGCTCTGTAGCCCAGGCTGGAGTTCTGTGGCCCACTCCTGGCTCAGTGCAAACTCTGCCTCCTGAGTTCAACCAATTCTTGCGTCTCAGCCTCCCAAGTAGCTGGAATTAGAGGCACTAGCCACCACGCTTGGCTGAGTTTTGTATTTATAGTAGAGACACAGGGTTTCACCATGTTGGCCAGGCTTATACTCCTGATCTCAAGTGATCCTCCCACCTCAGCCTTCCAAAGTGCTGGGATTACAGGCATGAGCCACTGCATCTGGCGCTATATGATTTTTAAAAGTTTTTCTAATTCTATGAAGAATGTCAATAGTAGAATGTCAATAGTAGTTTAATGGGAATGGCATTTAATCTATAAAATGCTTTGGGTAATACGACCATTTTCATAATATTGATTCTTCCTATCCATCAGCATGGAACGTTTTCCCACTTGTTTGTGTCATCTCAGATTTCTTTGAGCAGTGGTTTGTAGTTCTTCTTGAAGAGGTCCTTCACTTCCCCTGTTAGATGTATTTCTAGATATATTATTCTTTTGTGGCAGTTGCAAATGGGAGTTCATTCATGATTTGGCTCTTGGCTTGCCTGTTATTGGTGGGAAGATAGTACATATTAATTGTCAAACAAAATTAAATAGACAGTAAAGGAAATTAAAAATGCCTGCAATCTCATTTGGTAATACTCCTATTTTTCTTCAATGTTTTGTCTATTCAACCTATATATCTTTAAATTACTATTATCTCACATATACATATGTAATACATTTCTAATACTGCTCTTTTCACCTAACATTAAATCATGAGCTTCCACCTTATTATTAAGAAGTTATTCAAGCTACAAAGAGAATAAAATACCTAGGAATACAACTAACGGGATGTAAAGGACCTTTTCAAGGAGAACTACAAACCACTGCTCAAGGAAATAAGAGAGGAAACAAGCAAATGGAAAAACATTACATGATCATGGTTAGGAAGAATCAATGTTGTGAAAATAGTTGTATTGCCCAAAGTAATTTATAGATTCAATGCTATCCCCATCAAGCTACCATTGACTTTCTTCACAGAATTAAAAAGAAAAAAAAACCACCTTAAATTTCATATGGAACCAAAAAGGAGCCCACATAGCCAAGACAATCCTAAGCAAAAGAACAAAGCTGGAAGCATCATGCTACCTGACTTCAAACTATACTACAAGGCTACAGTAATCAAAACAGCATGATACTGGTACCAAAACAGAGTTCTAGACCAATGGAACAGAACAGAGGCCTCAGAAATAATGCCACACATCTGCAACCATCTGATCTTTGACAAACCTGACAAAAACAAGCAAAGGGGAAATGATTCCCTATTTAATAAATGGTGCTGGGAAAACTGCCTAGCCATATGCAGAAAACTGAAACTGGATCCCTTCCTTACACCTTATACAAAAATTAACTCAATATGGGTTAAAGATTTAAATGTAAGACCTAAAACCAAAAATCCCTAGAAGAAAACCTGGGCAATACCATTCAGGACATAGGCATGGGCAAGGACTTCATGACTAAAACACCAAAAGCAATGTCAACAGAAGCCAAAATAGACAGGGGATATAATTAAACTAAAGAGTTTCTGTACAGCAAAATTAACTATCATCAGAGTGAACAGGCAACCTACAGAATGGGAGAGAAATTTTGCAATCTATCCATCTGACAAAGGGCTAATATCCAGAATCTACAAAGAACTTAAACAAATTTACAAGAGAAAAACAAACAACCCCATCAAGTGGGCAAAGGATATGAGCAGACACTTCTCAAAAGAGGACATTTATGCAGCCAACAAACATATGAAAAAAAGCTCATCATCACTGGTCATTAGAGAAACGCAAATCAAAACCACAATGAGATACCATCTCACACCAGTTAAAATGGCAGTCATTAAAAAGTCAGGAGAAAGATGCTGGAGAGGATGTGGAGAAATAAGAACGCTTTTACACTGTTGATAGGAGTGCAAATTAGTTCAACCATTATGGAAGACAGTGTGGCAAATCTTCAAGGATCTAGAACTAGAAATACCATTTGACCCAGCAATCCCATTACTGGGTATATACCCAAAGGATTATAAATCGTTCTATTATAAAGATACATGCACATATATGTTTACTGTGGCACTGTTTACAATAGCAAAAACTTGGAACCAACCCAAATGCCCATCAATGATGGACTGGATAAAGAAAACGTGGCACATATACACCATGGAATACTATGCAGCCATAAAAATTGATGAGTTCGTGTCCTTTGTAGGGAAATAGATGAATCTGGAAACCATCATTCTCAGCAAACTGACACAAAACAGAAAACCAAACACTGCATGTTCTCACTCATAAGTGGGAGCTGAACAATGAGAACACATGGATAGGGGGAGGGGAACATCACATACCAGGGCCTGTCAGGGGATAGGAGGGTAAGGGAGGGACAGCATTTGTAGAAATACCTAACATAGAGGCAGGGTGATGGATGCAGCAAACCACGATGGCACATGTACAAGTATGTAACAAACCTGCAAGTTCTGCCCATGTACCCCAGATCTTAAAGTATAATTTTTTAAAAAAGGACCAATTAAAAAGCCAATACTGTCAAAGGTCAGCATTAATTAAAGGTTAAAATGCAAAAAAAAAGTTATTCAAAAATATAATTTTAGTTACTACATAATGTCCCCCCCCTTTTTTTTTTACTACCTACCACTAAAATAATGTCCCATTTTATGAATGGTCCATAATTTATTTTACCTTTCCCTATTGTTGGCCACTTACAGTCTTTCCTTCTTTTGACTATGGTATTAAACATTCTTGTACATATTATCTCTTGTTCGGTTTTCCAATATTTTCTTAGAGTTTATTCCTTTAAGTAGAATTAATAAATCAAAAAATATGAACATCCATAGAACTCTTGATTTATTCTGCCAGTTGAATTCTGTTGAGTCATAGATTTTTTTTTTTTTTTACAATGCCTGGTGTTCTATTAAGGTTTGAAAAAGTAAAATAGAAAAATATATGCCAAATTATGCATGTTAATTTTGATTTTAAAACATTAATCTTTTTCTATTGTCATTGCTACAATTGAAAAAAATAACAATCCATAGCCAACTTTGGATAAAGATCATAACTGTATTTTTTAGATCGAAAACAGCAAAGACTTCTCTGAAGCAGATCTCCAGGCTGAAGTGAAAACGTTCATGTTTGCAGGACATGACACCACATCCAGTGCTATCTCCTGGATCTTTTACTGCTTGGCAAACCACCCTGAGCATCAGCAGAAATGCCGAGATGAAATCAGGGAACTCCTAGGGGATGGGTCTTCTATTACCTGGTAAGATTTGTATTCCTATTTCATTCTGAATTTTCTCCTTATACATTTAATTATTTCTCTCTTCTGGTGTCAATGAGTTATAGTGCATTGAGATAGTCTGTATGCATTTGGAAGGGTAAGGATGCAGACTAGAATCCTATGTTGTTTTAAAGATTATCACTAATTGTTATATAGAAAAACATTGTGTTAATCAGACAGTATTCAATATGCCCCATTTTATTACTTTTCTCACTTCTGGCAATGGTACAATTGCAGAAGGAATTGTCTGCCTGCCTTATTTCTGTTATGGAAGGCAGGAATACAACAAACCCCTCTCTTTCTCCAAGAATGTAAATGGACTTCTCAGGGCTCCAGCTTTTACCACCTTAGATTGCCCAAGTAAGATGTTCAATCACTTGACATGAGAGAGAATTCACACCCCTTTTGTTTTTTTATCACCATCTCTGAACTTTAAACACTGCTCCCTCCACCCCCGCAGTTATGATTAACCTGGAGCTTTTGGGTTTCGTGGTGTTAATAAAACCAAACTGATCATGTTTCTAAAACTTTTAAAATTGTGAAACATAGGACACATTCAAAAAGTACAAGGAATTTCCTCCCTAGTGTATATTTTTTTACAATTTCCAGTTACCTGCTGAAATTTTCAACCATGTTTTTTTATCTCCTTATACTGAGTAAGAAAACGATTTTAAAATTCTCATTATTCCAATATTGGAAACTCCTGTGATTATTATTTTATTGTGTGTTGTATCTGCTGGATTGGTGTGGGGTTTTTTTGGTTTGCTTTTTGTTTTTTGTTTTTGAGACAGAGTCTCACTCTGTCGCCCAGGCTGGAGTGCAGTGGTGCGATCTCGGCTCACTGCCACCTCCACCTCCCAGATTCAAGTGATTCTCCTGCCTTAATCTCCCAAGTAGCTGGGACTGCAGGTGTGTGCCACCACACCCTGCCAAATTTTTTGTATTTTTTTAGTAGAGACGAGGTTTCACTGTGTTACCCAGGAAGGTCTCAATCTCCTGACCTCACGATCCGCCCGCCTCGGCCTCCCAAAGTGCTGGGATTACAGGCGTGAGCCACCGCTTCCGGCCGTTTTGTTTTCTTTCTGGTTTTTCATGTCATCCAGGCCTATTCTTTACCTGGAAGCATTTTACTTTGTACCAGACAGGTTTTTAACCAAACTGCTTGTAAGCTTAGGCTGGTTTGTAAGCTTCTTCCAGAGAGAATTTACATTTATTTATGCCAGGTGTCTGTAATCATGCAGTTCAGAATCCTCTTAATCCAGATATTTGGACAATTAAAAGCTGTGCCATTGATATGGTAACTTTTCGTATCTCCAGTTCACTCTTTTAACTAGGATGCCAACTTTGAACTCCCAGCTCAAAGTAGCTAGATTCTTCAAGCACCTTCCCCCACAGGGACTGCAATCTGATCTTTGTTCACATAGTCACAGGAGGCTACCCAAAGCACTTCTGAGCCCCTCAACTCATCTTCTGCAATTAGCAAGCACTCAGCAGAAAAGCAGTTCTAATTCTCAGCATCAAGTCCCGGAATCTTCAATCTTCATTCTCTACTGGGCCAACACCTCTATACTGTATTACTAGCTCTCTGATCTGTTCAAGTACACTGTGTGTGTGTGTGTGTGTGTGTTTGTGTGTGTGTGTGTGTGTCATCCAAATTTTCTGGTTTTCATAGCAGGAAATGTGATCTGAATTACTTAGTCTACCTTCACTAGAAACAAAACATTACTTCATTACCTTTTTGTTTGTATTTATTTATATTTATTTTTGAGGTGGAGTCTGTCACCTCACTCTGTCACCAGGCTGGAGTGCAGTGGCACGATCTCGGCTCACTGCAACCTCCGCCTCCCAGGTTCACATGATTCTCCTGCCTCAGACTCCCAACTAGCTGGGACTATAGGCTTGTGCCACTACCCCCAGCTAATTTTTGTACTTTTTAGTAGAGACGAGGTTTCACCATGTTGGCCAGGCTGGTCTCAATCTCTTCACCTCATGATCTGCCCGCCTCGGCCTCCCAAAGTACTGGGATTACAGGTGTAAGCCACCGCACCTGGCTCCTTTTTGTTCAGTTTTGATATCTGTGTCTTTCTTTTTTCTCTAATATTCTACCTGAAAATTACCAATTTTATTCACCTTTTCAATGTACCAATGTCTACCATTGCTGACCTTATTGACATTTTGCTTTTGCCTATCTCATTGATTGCTACTCTTCCCTTAACTACTTTTCTTCTACTTCTTTGCATTTATTTTGCCTTTCCTATACCTATTTCCAGGTGCATTCCTTTGTAGGCCCAGCCCAGCACTGAGGGTGCTTTACCACAGTCCCCGCATGTGGTGAGCCCTCGATTCTGACTTGTGTCCCCTTGCCTACTGCCCCACCTCTGGTTTGCAACAGAAGCATCAGCCATTATCTGCCCAGTTCTGTGAACTCCAGTCCTCTTTATGGTCTCCTCACAACTGAGTTATCTCCTTGATGCTTTTAAGAATATTTTTTAAGTTCCCTGAATTTTTTCAGCGCTCCTAGTGAAGAAGATAGTCCGTATTCCTACTACAGTGCTATCAGAAATACTTTTTCATTCATAGAAGAAATACTCTGGATATAAATACAACCCACAATGCTATCCAAATTTTCACAGATGTGTGATATTGACAGGAGCCCTGGAATAGGTATGTCTCAGGACAAGAGCCCTATATCTGCAGGAAAAAAAAAAAAAAACCCACACACAGTTACATGTGAAAAGTGGTTCATGTTAACATTTAGCTTTTCCTAAGACATCCTTGGTACTGCTGAAATCCTCCTTTGGATAAAGAAAAAATATCATTCTCAGTTACAAAAATGGAGAAAAGCTGGGCTTTCAGTGTAATGGCTAAGTGACTACCCCTCCTCTTCCTTACCTCCTGTGCTTCTATCCAGGGAACACCTGAGCCAGATGCCTTACACCACAATGTGCATCAAGGAATGCCTCCGCCTCTACCCACCAGCACCAAACATATCCCGGCTACTCGACAAACCCATTACCTTTCCAGATGGACGCTCCTTACCTGCAGGTCTTAAAACATCTTTTTTTTCTTTTTAACAATACAGTTGTGCTTGGACTGAAATGTCTTAACACACTCATGTCTTTAACAGTTATTTAACAGTCCTTAGAATCTGTGGAGCCTAAGGCCATTCTTATTTCCCAAATAAGAGGGAGAAAGAGGAGAGAGCTCTCAGGAAAGGGAGAAAGAGGAGAGAGCTCTCAGGACTCTCAAAACAGGCACAGGATTACCAAGATGCAAAGGTATAGAATCCTGCCATAAGGACTGAGGAGTTGGGGAGGGGGCCTTCATGAAGCATCACTTTATGGCTGAACCTTAAAGGACTAGATTTATATCAGCAAAGATGAGAGAGGCAGCATTGTTGGCAGAGAGAAAGAAGAGTAGACACAAAGCAGCAAACAGCCTCCCTTTTCCATTCCCTCATGCACACCAGCAGGGCATGTCACTGGAGCAATTACTGTAATCCACCAAACTCCAGCATTCACAGAGGGAAATTTTGGACTATTCCCGGAGTCATGATGTAGCCAGATCATAGAGCTTTCTGAAGGCCAACGTTTTGTGTTCAGCCTTTCTGGATCAAGCAGCAGACAGATTTAAGACATCGAAGCTGGGTAGCGTGATTATAGTTATTTTTTTAGAAAGATTAATACATTAGTGGGATGCAAGATGGATTGAATGATGACATAGAGATATAAAGGAATGAGCCAGAATTTATTTTTGACCTATGTTGAGTTTTTCTGCAACTTCCTCCCATTTAACTGTCTTTCAAATACTGGATTTGATTGGGCATCTGTAGTAGTCTAATTAAATGTAATAATATTTAATTGCTACTGGGCTACCACAGTTGCACAATAGCAATTAAATGTTTGTTTTCTACAAAATCAACTTTGCTATTGAAATAACAAAAGCGAAAGTTATTTAGTACTTACTAGGGGCCAAGCATTGTTCTAGATGTTTTGCACTTATTAACTCATTTATCCACCTATCCCCCTGCCCCCCAGTTCTACTGTGGAAATACTAGTGTTATGCACATTTTAGACAAACAGGGACAAAAAGGTAAAACTTCATCTTTGGTAAATGGTGGAACTAGGACTTGAACCCAAGGAGTGGGACTCTAGAGTCTGTGCTTAACTACTACACTGAAGCACAAAAACTTAAGCTTTCTCTGGGATCTCTCCAGAGAAAGATTTTTGCTATCACAGGGATCTTTGCAATCATCTAGTGTCTAAAGATGTTTCCTCTTTTCAATTCAGTGTTATTTTTCACACAGTATTTATTGTACTATGTATTACCTACATAATATTGCATCTATACACATAATATTCCACCCACCTAGTTGCTCAAACAAGACAACTCAGAGTCAACTTTTACTACCTTTTTCCTTACTCGTGCATTTCAATAATACCTAAATCCTGTCAATAAGCTCTGGTTCTTTTCAACATCAATAAAACGATTATTTATTGCTGCCTTCCAACACGAAAAAATTATTTTCTCTGCTTCTATTCTAGATCGCCTAAGCCCTGTAATCCACAGACCCTTAAAATCCCCCTACCCATACAAAAGCTACAGGTTGAAAATGTGAGAATCAGCATGCCTTTTAATTTTTCCCATTCAGGGCCTTTCTGTTTCATGTTCCTTTCATTTTCCTGATCTTGTGGCTTTTGCTGATGCTGCAGGTAACTTTCTGTGCTTCAGACAGTTCTGTTGAGATCCTGATGGATGCTGGCTGAAGAACTGGCTGCACCCTGGCTGACTCACTTTTAGACTACTCACACATTACCTCTGGTCTCCTGCAGTCTCTGCCCTTTCCTCCAAGTGCCTTCAGGGGCTGCACCTTGATCTCCCTCAAGCCACAATGAGAGGACAGGAAGTGCACAAGCAGAGTTGCCTTCACCTCACTTTACATTCCTTTCTGCCACACTTTCTTGCCCTCCAGGGCTTTCAGGCCTTCACTGGACTGCACATGCTCATCTGTGTTGTTTCCTGTTACCCTGTTTTCCCTCCTCCCCACTTCTCATACACGCAGGCACTCCACAGTTTCACTTTCTTCACCTCAAGCTTGGATGCCTGAATTCATAACTCCAAGTTCCCCCTTGGCAATGCCCTCAACTTCCTTGAATATTTCCCTTCTCTATTCTCATGCATCAGTAATTCAACCAGTAATAAATGCTTCTATGCACTTTCTCTGCCCTGCTAATGGGCCCTTGAATGCAGCTATAGCACACCAAAGCGTGTGCAAATAGGTGCCTCATATCCGCCAGATTCATTCGCCTCTTTCCCTGTGTTACCCAGAAATCCTGTTTATTTCTCATTACAAATTGGCAAATGAGTGCCTCATGTTATAAGTAAAATTTTGATGCTGCAAAAGAAAGCACTCAAAGATAAATCCTTTCAGCAAGGCAATTTACTTCTATAGAAAGATGCAGTGCACAGATGAAGCAATGGTGGCCGCACATTTGAGCAAGTGAGGAAAAGGGGTACTTATGCCCGACAGGTGTCGCCCCTACTGCTGTGTTGGTCCCCTCTTGGTAGGGTTAGACCACACAAGCTGAACTAATCCCAATTGGCTATTTTAAAGAGAGCAGTGGTCCGAGCTGGAGTAGCAGGGTGGGTGGTTTGGTGGGAAGGACGGTTATGGGCGGGTCAGAGCAGGTGGCCAGGGGTGACCTAGGTCAAAAGGAAGGTGACCAGAGTAGGTGACTGGAGCAGGTGACCGGGATGAGTCAGGATGGAGGGGGCTGGGGAGAACAGATGTGAACAACTGGTTAGAACCAGTGGAGAAGGTTGTTTACTGGAACTACAAGGAAGTTAAACTTTAAAATGAAGAACAAATAACTGAACATAATGACATACTGATTCTTCAAAGAGAAATTTACAACTAATTGTATCCAATAATTACCACCAGACCCACCTCTTTCCCTCTATTATCCAGAAATCCTGATTACTTCTAAAAAGAAGAATGTTTATGATGTCTGCTTTCTCCCCACACCTCACAGCATCACATACATTTTCATCACTCTCCATCTGTTCCTGTGCCACGTCCCCACTCACTCCTGGCAAAAGACCTACTACATTATGTGTGCCCTTCTCTTCATTCACTGGCCCAACAATTGCCTACTAAATATCTGCTCTAGGCACTTTGCTTTGTTCTGAGCATACTATGATAAGCAAAATGTCCAAAAGGAAGCATGTCATCTACCGTCTACCCCTAAACCTGCTCCTTCTCCTAGATTGCTATATTAATGAATGGCACCACTGTCTTGAGCAATTTTAAGTGAGAAAACTAGAAGTCATCCTCACACCTCCATCATCTTCCTTACCCAGACAGTATCCAAGTCCTCGAATATCAGCTACTTCCTTCTCAACAACCTTGCTCTGATTATCTGTCAGAGTCCCCTAATTTTCATATTTCCATACTTAGCTATTAAAAACCAATCTACCACCCAAGAAAGCCACTTGGGTGATTCTATTGCCACTTGTCCCTCCTAAGATCCCACTTATACGCATACACTGAAGTACAAAAAGAAATAATCTCATAAAAGTGAAAAGAATGGAAGGAAGGTATTTAATCAACAAAAAGAGAGAGATTTTAATGAATTTAGGAAATTAAAAAATAGGATTGGGCTGTCAAATGAAACAAGAGGAGAAATGCCCAGTTTTAAAAGGCAGTGAGGGGGTGGCTGCAGAAAGACTTTCAGAGAGTAGTGGATGGCTCTACTTTTTAATCCCATGGAAAAGGTTTAGAAATTGTGGTCTTAATAAGCTTAGCAAGGCTGAGCTACTTTAGGAAAAGTGTATATTAATCACCTAAAAAAAAGTCAATCCTAAAAATCGTGTTTTATCTTTTAAAAGTTAACTTTTAATTTAGAGCCTAGTGTACAATTAGAGACTCTTTATTCTGGCAGAGAAAAAGAGATGTCCACTCTGCTGACAGATTGTGACCCGAATGATACACTGAGAGCTGGGAGAGCAGTCACTTTTTTCTGGACAATGCAGATCCCTTTTTGCTTCCCACTAATATTATTAAGAGATATTTTGAGCCTTGCTCGGAATTATCTAGATTTGTGGAACAAAGAAATTGGGTAGAAAGACAGATTTAGAGAGAGGAAGGGGACAGATCAGTTGGAGGCAGTCATTAATCTGCCTTTTTGAAGTTTTTTTTCCAGGGAATCTTCACTGACATTGAGTTAGAGTCATTGAGGTGTTTTCAGATTTTCTACACGAAAAAAAAAAGATGGAAAACCATCAAAAGTTATGAATTCTGTTTTCTTTTTGTCCTGAGGCTCCATGGTGATTTAAGAGCTCAATAAAATAGAAAATGCTCCAAATTATGTCTTTTTCTAATGTTACACAATGTACATGCTTTTTTATTATGATAAATATACTCATCAGGTGTCAGTTAGATTCTCTGGATTAATAAACCCCATGCCGGGAAAAAAAAACAAAAACAAATTCCTTCAATAGCCAATAACAGACCTATTAATGGCCTAGTATGTGCCGTGAATCTGATGGTCCAGTAAGCCTCAGTGGAGAAGGCATTGCCCAAAAAACTGAGTGTTCTATGAAATCCCCTAAACAATTTACAATCACTAAACAGAACAAAACACAATGGGTTTTCTCCTATATGCCACTCATGGGAGAGATCCATGGCAATCAACCAGACACTCTGACAGTAAGCCAGTGTAAGCAGAAACTCCTAAGAAAGACAATAACTGACTTAGGAAATCAAAACTATCTCATCTGAGGGCACTGGCATGTGTCTATTATCCCAGCTACTCAGGAGGCTAAGGCAGGAAGATCACCTGAGCCCAGGAGTTTGAGGCTGCAGCAAACTATAATCACACCGCTTCCCTCCAGGCTGGGCAACATAGTGAGACCCCATCTCAAAAAACTTTTTTTTCATTGACCATGATTTCAGACACACCCAAAGGAGCTAGTAACTGATGAGCCTGTGAACCATACTTCTTAGGTATTAGCAATTATTGAACTTCAATGGGCAGTCTGTTCTGATGATCTTGGTGAGACTTCCAGAAACTGTTCAAGAGAGAACAATGCTTCTGGAACCAAAAATTGAAAAGTGAAAGCATGTGTACTGCCAGGAAATACACCTGATCCAACTGTAGAGATTTGACTCTATGATTGAGGCTTGGGAGAGTTAAATAACATTGGGTTTTTGAAGCTCTAAACTTCAAAATCTCTGACCCATATTAAGAAAGCAAATTTCTTGAATATCCTTGATTAGCCAGTAACATGTGGATTAATCACTTAGGAAGAATGTGTTAACAGTGACCTGGCCACTTGTTTTTTGAAAGTGGTCTTTGCTTCATGGATGCAGCAGTGCTACATTGTCCCAGTTGCCATTCTAACCCAAAATGGGTCTTTACCTCAGTGAGTAAGCTAAGTGGTCATATCAGCATGGGTGAAGTCCAAAACTTAGATTTCATGATGTTGAAAACCACAATTCATCATGAACATAAGACAGCCATGAATGCAAATTTTAAAAAAGAACACACTTTCCTTTTTATGTACATCAGCAACATTCCTTAAAGGTGACTGTATGCTAGGCCACCATTTTTTTAAAGCTTAATTACCAAAAGAGAAACATTACAAAAAAGCGTTCTTTAAATTAAGACAATAAAAATGAAAATTAGCAAAAAAATTTTTCAGAAGGTTCATTCATATGGATTTTTTTATCCATTAAAAACTACTGGGTTAAAGCAAAAATACAAAATTAAATCATGACCACGAATACTCTATATATCAGAATTAATGGCATGCCACTAAAGCAGCATTTAGAAGAAAAATTTAAACTTAGAAAGTTATTTAAGGAAATATCACATTGATAACAAACCTACTAAAAATTGCACAAAATATCTATAGATAAAGATCACTTATGTATATAAATATAAAAATTTTAAATAAAATATTAGTAAACATAATCCAGTGGTGCATCAAAATAAATATATTGGCTGGGCAGGTGGCACATGCCTGAAATCCAAACACTTTGTGAGGCCAAGGTGGGAGGATCACCTGAGCCTGGGCAACACAACAAGACCTCATCTCTGTAAAAAGATAAAATAAAATAAAATAGTATATCATAGCCAAATAAGTAGATCATATTTCAAAACTGCAAAGATTGTTCAATATTAGGAATACATTAATATAATTTATTATATGTACAGATTTCAAGAGATGCCCATATCATCTCCACCATGATCAATGGTTATTCCACATATTGATAAAATATTACTTCAGTGCCATATTGGCACTATATCCCATATGGTTCTATGGCTCCAAAGTATAATAAAATCTCCCAAGTGACTGTCTAGGAAAGGCAAAACAGAACAAAACAAAAGACAATACTCTCACTCTCTGCTTAAACTTCTCAGTGAACCATATTAGCTTCAACCTAAAAGCCTTAGCATGACCTCTTTGCCATTTTAAGGTACAAACCCAGCCGACCTCCCCAGGCTTATCTATGGACACTTTGCTCCCTGAATCCTGTTATTCAACCTCCCAGTCACCCAAATCTGTCATGCCTTCTCAAGTATTAAAGCTTGGCTTCATGCTTTTTTATCTGCCTTTAATTCCTTTCTGAATCTTCTTTTCTTTACCTGGTTTTCCCCTACTGATTTCATGATACTCAGCTCAGCAGGCCTTGCCTGAGCCTTTTCTCTTGTATATATCCAAAGGCTCTACACATGAGGTTCCCCTCAGAACTCCCCAAGCATGCTAGGCTTCCTTCTGACTTATTACTGTGTGTTGCAATTGCCTGTCTCTTGCAATGGACTGTGAGCTCCTTGAAGACTGGAATAGATCTCACTGATCTCCACAGCACCCATTTAAGTGTCATCATCGGATGCTTCTTAAACGGTTAAGGAAATTATGAATGTAGAATTATTTCTTGGTTATACAATCTGTGAATGGGTGTGAAAGAATCTTAGCTCATGCACTTATCTGCTTTTTCTTCTGTTTACTCAGGAATAACCTTGTTTATCAATATTTGGGCTCTTCACCACAACCCCTATTTCTGGGAAGACCCTGAGGTATGAATTGTCCCAACTGCACCCAGTGGCATCTAAGATGGCACCAAGAGGGAAGAGAAACTCTTCACAATTGAGGGAGGAGTTAGGATAACCATCTGTCATTTAGAAAAGCAAACAGAACAAACCCTATGCTTTTTTTTTTTTTTTTTTTTTTTGAGATGGAATTTCACTCTTGTTACCCAGGCTGGAGTGCAATGGCATGATCTCGGCTCACCACAACCTCCCCCTCCTGGGTTCAGGCAATTCTCCTGCCTCAGCCTCCTGAGTAGCTGGGATTTCAGGCACACGCCACCATGCCCAGCTAATTTTTTGTATTTTTAGTAGAGACGGGGTTTCACCACGTTGACCAGGATGGTCTCGATCTCTTGACCTCGTGATCCACCCGCCTCGGCCTCCCAAAGTGCTGGGATTACAGGCGTGAGCCACCGCGCCCAGCCCAACCCTATGCTTTTAAGAGAAAAATATGTTTGCAATATAATCACCAGTATTCCACGACAATGTCTTATCAACAGAAGCATATCATCCTGTTTTGGGAAGTAGAGAGGATGTGATGAGTCGATTGACACCGCACTGTTTAACCACCTTGCTCTCTGCTTTCATTCATGTCTGTAGTCAATCTAGTCACAGAGTTGTGAAGAGTGTTGCAAATCACTTGTTACTGGTCATAATTAAAGTACCAAGATTATAAACTCTTTGCTTTTCTTAAGATTTGAGCATATTTGAAGTTAATCCTCTAGGAATATTGCTCTCCTTCACACCCAGTGCTAACCTGAGAGCGAAAGGGAAAGAGGGCCTGGGAGAGAACAAGCACACTCCTGGGCTGCTGCAAACCAGTGCTCAGACCAACTCCGCAGTCCAGGAAATACTAATCAGCAACGTCTCACAGAGACGCTCGGGCAGAAGCTGAACAACTTTAGCTGTGAATTGCCACCGCTTTCTTCTTTGCCCAAGTCCTTGGTTCAGTCCATTTGGAAACCAAGACAAATAGAAAAGATAATAATTTGATTCTTTGCCCATTTATATGACAGAGGCGTGTGTTTACTGTGAAGGGAAAATAATGAGGTCAGTATTTGGTCAAGTCAGATTGTCCTGATGATTTGCTGCTGCTTCTTGCTATTGAGGCTTGTTTAATCTATCACGGGGTTATATAGTCTCTGCTTTCTCGGGATATATTTTCAGTGGTAGGCTTCTGAGGAATATCACACAGGACTGTAGTATCCAGATATTGTAAGTTCCTAAAGTTAGCTTTGGAATTCTATTAACAATATGCAAGGTTTCTTGTGTGGTTGGTGGGTGGGAGGGGTGGAGGGAGTAGGACTGGGATCTTCTCTCTCATTACAGGTCTTTAACCCCTTGAGATTCTCCAGGGAAAATTCTGAAAAAATACATCCCTATGCCTTCATACCATTCTCAGCTGGATCAAGGTAAAGACTCAAGCTGGTGAACTTGATGGAAATGTGTAACAGTACTTACCTCACAAGGGCTCGTTCCCCTCGGGCCCTCAGTTAGCTGACACTGCAGTTGCTCCCCATCATTTTACCTGGCTTGTTTTCTCTTGTGACCGGTGCCTTCAGACAGTACCCTTTTCAGTCCCCGAAGGGACCAGTTAATGTTACAAAGAGCAACTCTGGTCCTTGGCATATGGGCATGGATTGATGAAGGCCATCCCCACAATAGGCCCAGAGACTACACTTTAACTTGCAATGAACAAGTTGGGAATGCCACCTTGTTACAGGAACAAGGCAGCATTGGCAGCTCCCAGCTCTTGTTCCTACCGAGAGCAATGTTGTTCTAAAGTCCAACTTTCCCTTTGATAGAATATGAGAGACACCTATTTACCAAATGACAATACGATCCACTGAGTATGCCAGGTTATTGTTGTCATGACTAAGGCTTCAACTGCAAGACCTCTAAATAATAGCAAGAAGTAGCTTTTCTTTATCATGACATGAGGAAGGTTTTCTAGTTATATGGACCCTTCAGGATCAAATGTTGATAGAACTCACTACCACTTACTTGTAAGATGGGCCCAAAAATAATAGAACCAGAGTTTTCAGATCTTGACATTAGTGGACTTTATGATCAGGGCTTACTTAACTTAAAAACATTTGCTGGATTCTGCCACATTAGAATTGGTTTAAAACATGGATCTTGGCTGGATGTGGTGGTTCATGCCTGTAATCCCAGCACTTTGGGAGCCCAAGGTAGGCAGATTACTTGAGATCAGGAGTTTGAGACCAGCCTGGTCAACATGGTAAAACCCTGTCTCTACTAAAAATACAAAATATTAGCTGGGCATCATGGAGTGCACCTGACAAGTGCTCATTCCCTTCAGACACTCAGCTGACACTGCGTCTTTTAATCCCAGCTATTCCGGAGGCTGAGTCAGGAGAATCCCTTGAACCCAGGAGGCAGAGAGGCAAAGGTTGCAGTAAGCCGAGATAGCACCACTGAATTCCAGGATGGGCAACAGAAAAAAACAAAAAAACCATGAATCTTGTTTCCCTACAAAAATTGTTGTATATAAAAAGATTGGCTTATGTTCCTAATAACACATAAATTCATTAGATGTCATTTTCCTCTTTCTTGGTATCCCTAGGAACTGCATTGGGCAGCACTTTGCCATAATTGAGTGTAAAGTGGCTGTGGCATTGACTCTGCTCCGCTTCGAGCTGGCTTCAGACCACTCAAGGCCTCCCCAGCTTGTTCGTCGAGTTGTCCTCAAGTCCAACAATGGAGTCCATGTGTTTGTAAAAAAAGTTTGCTAATTTTATGTCCTTTCATGTAAGAATTAATGAGGCAATTTCCCTACCAAAAGAAGAATGAAAGGACAAATACAATACAAAATATATGCATATGGTTTTTTGACAAGTTATATAATTAAGGATACTTCTGAATGGTTTTAACATCCATTAACAGTAATTCTGATTTTCTTGCTGAATCATTTAGACAGCCTTTTAGTGAAACCCACAAAAATGCCTGAAAAAACTCAAGCTGACTTCCACTGCAAAGGAAAATTATTGGCTCATGTAACCAGTGGTAGGGTGGCTTTCAAGCATAGTTTGATCAAGGCTCAACTCAATATCTGCATTACTTTTATCTCTGCAAATATCTGCGTGATAGCTTTATTCTCAGTTATCTTTCCTCATAATAAAAAATATCTGCCACCTCTGAGTCCCATAGTCTCTCATTATACCCTGTAGGGAATGAATAAATTGATGACAGTGTATTAGAAAGCCTAGACACTTAAGAGGAATTCTGAATACAGAAAAGCCTCATATATGAATTCCATTTGGAATATTTAGAGGATATCATGCCTAGGAACTCTTGCTCGACATGGAGTAAGGTAGCTATGGAATGTTTTAGCAGAGAGAGGGCCCACATAGAGCAACATGATCCCCCATGCTGGTGTGTGCCATAATAGAGACACAGAAATTCCCATATATCTGCAGTGGGAAGCACAGAATTGTTAAGAGAGCCAAGAGTAATCATAAGAGAGCCAAGAGGAATCATTATTAATCCAGGAGTGAGTGGCTGGAATTAAACTATGCTAAAGTCCATGCATCTTTTGAGGTTGTGGGGTGGGGGGTTGAAGAGTGTGGTTAAGATACCAAATAACTTAGCCTTTATCAAACATGAAAAATAAGTTTTTCAAACATAGTCACTAAAGAGTAGAAATCAAATGCATAAATTTGAAATCTGTAGCGAAAAATACAGAATAAGAAAAAATGGAATACAAAGAGCCAAAAAAAGGCAATACATTCTCCCAAAAAGAATGCAAAAAAGAAGGGAAAAAAGAAGCATAGAAAAGGAAGCACAAAGTAAAATGGTAGAAACATGCGAATACATCAATAATCGATGAGTGTGGATAGAAGAACTCACAAGTTAGGATGAAGTGGTTATCAGATTGGACTTTTTTAATTCCAGACATTACTAAAACATAAGAATAAATTAGGCTGGGTGTGGTGGCTCACACCAGTTATCCCAGAACTTTGGAAGGCTAAGGTAGGTGGACCACCTGAGGTCAGGAGATCGAGACCAACCTGCCATAATGGCAAAACCCCGTCTCTACTAAAAATATAAAAATTAGCTGGGCATGATGGCAGACACCTGTAATCCCAGCTACTCAGGAGGCTGAGGCAGGAAAATTGCTTGAACCCAGGAGGCAGAGGTTGCAGTGAGCTGAGATTGTGCCATTGCACTCCAGCCTGGTGGACAGGACAAGACTCTATCTCAAAAAATAAAAATATAAAGACCATAAAATTATTGAAAGTAAAAAGCTGGTACGTATATGCCAGAAAAATACTAATGGAATCAGAGTAGCTATATTAGTATGAAACAAAATAGATGGAATAAAAACAAAACATTATCAGTGACAGTCATTACATGTGATTCACCCATAAACAGAATTAAAAACAAAAACCATATATCATCTCAATAGATGCAGAAAAAGCTTTTGATAAAATCTAACATCGCTTCATGATAAAAACTCTCAACAAACTAGACATTGAAGAAACATACCTCAAAATAAGAGCCATCGATGACAAACCCACAGCCAACATCATACTGAATGGGTAAAAGTAAGAAGCATTCCCCTTGAGAACTGAAACAAGACAAGGACACACACTCTCACCACTCCTATTCAATGTAGCACTGACAATCCTTGCCAGAACAACCAGGCAACAGAAAGAGATAAAAGGAATCAAAATAGAAAAAGAAGTCAGACTATCTCTCTTCATGGTTGATGTGATTCTATACCTAAAAAACCCTAAAGACTCTGCCAAAATGCCCCTGGAACTGATAAATGATTTCAGTAAAGTTTTGGGATACCAAATCAATGTGCAAAAATCAGTAGCATTTCTATACACCAATACATCCAAGCTGAGAGCCAAATCAAGAACACAGTCCCTATACAATAGCCACAAAAATAATAAAATACCTAAGAATATATCTAACCAACTATGTGAAAGATCTCTACAAGGAGAACTATGAAACGCTGCTGAAAGAACCACTTACGTAACAATCAGAATGTCAAAGTCCCCTGGCCCTCAGAGAGTCCGGAGCCCCTCACCCCAACCCGTGCCCCTCACCCTCACTCCCGAGGTAGTTTTACAGGTATAAAAGGTCTTGACACCCTCCTTTGGGGGCCATGGGTTGGAGAGACAAGTCCTCCATGGCCACTGGCAATAAAACCCCTGCAATTTGGCATTAAAAAAAAAGAAATCGGAGATAATACAAACAACTGGAAAAGTACTCCATGCTCATGAATTGGTAGAATCAAAATTGTTAAAATGACCATCTTTCCAAAGCAATTTACAGATTCAGTGCTATTCCCGTCAAGCCAGCAATGTCCTTTTTCACAGAAATAGGAAAAAAACTATTCTAAAATCCATATAGAACCACAGAAGAGTCTGAATAGTCAATGCATCCTAAGCAAAAAGAACAAAGCAAGAAGCATCACATCACCCACTTCAAACTATACTATAAGGCTACAGGAGCCAAAATACCATGGTACTGGTACAAAAATAGACACATACATCAATGGAGCAGAATAGAGAGCCCAGAAATAAAGCCATGCACCTACAACCTTCTGATCTTCAACAAGCTTGACAAAATAAGCAATGGGGAAAAGACTCCCTATCCATTAAATGGTGCTGGGATAACTGGCTATCCATATGCTGAAGAACGAAACTGGACCCCTACCTATCACCTTATACAAAAATTAACTCAAGATGGATTAAAGACTTAAATGTAAGACCTCAAATTATAAAAAATCTAGAAGAAAACCTAGGAATATAACCTCCGTATCAGCCCTGGCAAAGAATTTATAACTAAGTGCCCAAAAGAAATTGTGACAAAAACAAAAATTAATAAGTAGGACCTAAGCAAACTAAAGCGCTTCTACATAGCAAGAGAAACTATCAAGAGAATAAACAGGCAACCTCCAGAAGGGGGGAAAATATCTGCAAACTATGCATTTGACAGAGGTCTAATATCCAGAATCTATAAGGAGTTTAAACAAATCAACACACAAAAAACAAAAAGCTCCATGAAAAAGTGGGCATGTATGTCTTCTTTAGAAAAGAAGACAAAGACGTGGCCAACAAGCATATGGAAAAAAAAAAAAAGCTCAGTATCACTGATCATCAGATAATGCAAATCAAAACCACAGTAAGATACCATTTCACACCAGTCAGAATGGCTTTTGTTAAGAAGTCAAAAAATAACAGATGTTGGTGAGGCTGCAGAGAAAAAGGGACACATACACTGTTGGTAGGAATGTAAATTGGTTCAGCCACTGTGGAGAGCAGTTTGGAGATTTCTCAAAGGACTGAGAGTTGAACTACCATTCGACCCAGCATTCTTATTTCTAGGTATACACCCAAAGGAAAAAAAATTGTTCTACCAGTAGGACCCAAGCACCAATGTTCATCACCATGCTATTCACAATAGCAAAAGCATGGAATCAATGTTGATACCCATCAATGGTGGATTGGACAAAGAAAATGCAGTACATATACCCAGTGGAATACTGTGCAGCCATAAAAAGAACAAAATCATGTCCTTTGCAGCAACATGGATGCCGCTGGAGGCCATTATTCTAGCTAACACATAAACAGAAAACCAAATACCACATGTTCTCATTTATAAGTGGGAGCTAAAGATTGGGTACACATGAAGATAAAAATGAGAAATAGACACTGGGGACTATTAGAGGGGATAGAGAGAGAAAGGGACAAAGGTTGAAAAACTACCTGTTGGCTACTATGCTCACTATCTGTCATCATACCCCAAACCTCAGCATCACACAATATACCCAGGTAACAAACATGCACTATACTACAAGGCTACAGTAGCCAAAGCAGCATGTACTGGTACAGAAATAGAGAGGTAGACCAATGGAACAGAACAGAGACACTGGAAATAAAGGCACACACCTACAACCTTCTTTCATTTGACACCAAATGAAAGTGAACCCACAGGAAGAAACAAAGACCATCAGATGCATACCTACACACATATAAACATATGTGTATGTATATATACATATACATAGAATAACTTTTAAATCTTATTCCCTTAATTTCATTAAATAATATATGACTTTCAAAGAAAAAAACTATTATTGTGCTTATTATATATGTCTACATATTATATATAATACTTAATGTAAGTATTTAAACTTGAAATGGACAAGGGCTGGGAATGCCGCCTTGGTACAAAAAATACCTGGTACTTTTGAGTGGTACCAAAATAGACAGGTAGACAAATGGAACAAAATAGAGAGACCAAAAATAAAGACATACACCTACAACGTTTTTTCGTTTAACACCAAGTGAAAGTGGACCCACAGGAAGAAATGAGGACGTCAGATAAAATATATATGATATTACCAATAATTGTAAGGACATGAAAAAGAGGAAATGGAAATACACTGTTGTAAGGTTGCTATATTTTACCTGAAATAATTTAATACACACTTAAAGAAGGTGTGAAATCAGTTAAACTGCATATTGTAATCCCTAAAGCAGCCACTAAGAAGTAATGCAAAAAAAGAGAACTAATTAATCAGTTGACAAACTAAAATGAAATACTGAAGAATACTTGATCAACACAAATGAAGGCATGAAAGGAGAAATAAGGAAATAAATGGTCACAAGAAGAGACGAATAGAAAAAAATAGCAAAACAGCAGACCTGAATTCAACCACATCAATAATTACGTCAACGATTACTAGACTAACCACTCTAATCAAAGAAAGAGATTGATGACTGGATCTTTTAAAAAGCAGGGACTGACTGCCTATGTGTTTGAAGAGATGAACTTCAAATAGAAAGACACAAATAGCTTTAAAATATAAGCAATAGAGAAAATATATACTATGCAAACAGTAAGCAAAAGAAATATGGAGTAGCTACACCATTATCAGACAAAATTAACTACTGATGAAGAATATTATCAGAGACAAGGAGGAACATTTCATGATAACAGAGGATCAATATATTGGGAAAATATAAGATTTGTGCACTTCATAACAGAGCTTCAAATTACACACGGCAAAAACTTTCAGAAATAAGGAAATAAATACACAAATTCAAAATCATAGATGGAGAATATCTCTTAGAAATTGGTATACAATTAACAAAACTAACAAAATATAGTAAGA